TGGCGGAGCCAACTACGCCGGCTGGTTCGCGCAGCAGAAGATGGAGGCCATGCTGCAGAAACTCAGCGAAGGCACAAGGGCGGGTTACGAGGGGGGATGGCGGCTCTGGGTTGCCGTGCGCCAGGCGCAGGGGCTCAGCCCTTGGCTCCCAGGACGTGATCGCGAGGAGCGCCTGGCCGACGAAGAGGCGCTCATCAACTTCGCCGTCCTCCTAGCGCGGGTCGTCGGGAGGACCGAGGGGGCCATCAAGCAGAAGCTCTTCGCGGTGCGCTACGCCCACCTGGTGGCTGGCTATTCGGACCCCCTGCTCCACAGAGGCCGCCTCTGGAGCACGCTGGCAGGGCTGAAACGCTGGCAGGGGCCCGAGACCAAGCGGAAGAAGCCCGTCACGCCAGCCATGCTCGAATGGCTCCGCAGCTTTCTCCAGCAGGAGGCCAAGCTCCCCGAGGAGGATGCCGTGGTCATCTGGGCGGCCATCGTGACAGCGTTTTTCTTCCTCCTGAGGGCCTCAGAGTACCTCCTCCAGGACGGGCGCTCGTGGTCCTTCGAGCGCGTGCTGCACGGGGAGGACGTGGAGCCCAAGAAGGAGGGGAAGCGCGTGGCCAGCTTCCAGGACGCCGACGAGATGGTGATCTACATCAAGGGCAGCAAGACGGACCAGCTCAACGTCGGGACGGTGAGGAACCACTACCGCGCCGGCACATCGCTCTGCCCGATCGCGGCGATGGAGCGGCTCCAGGCTCACCATCCTCAGCGGATAAAGGGCACCGAGGAACGGCTGCCCCTTTTCCGCTGGGCGTCAGGTACACCGATCCGCAGGGCGGAGGTGCAGCACTTCCTGACGGTCGCGGGGCTGGCCGCCGGCCTCTCTAGGGAAGAGATCGGCAGCCACTCCCTGAGGATCGGCGGGGCAACTGCAATGTACCACGTGACCGAGGACCTCTCCCGAGTGCGCCGATTCGGGCGCTGGCAGTCGGACGCGTTCCACGGCTACCTGTGGGAGTCGCACGAGCCGATGAAGGGCATCTCCGGCAAGATGGCCAGGGACAACTCCTCGTTGACCAACCCGGCGAAGGACAGCGCCCCCAGCAGAGCTGCCGCCGGCGCCGAGAGCGCCAGGCGCGAGAGCCCATGAGAGGCCGCAGCGGGCGCCGCCGGTGCTTACGCACCTGGCGTGCGCCCAACCCAAGCCGCCGGCTTCACGCCGTGCGTGCTTGGGCGCAGCCACCAGCCACCTGCCCCGCCGGCGAGTAGCCGCGCGCTCGCAGGGTACACCTGCCCGTGCTTCAGCACTGGCTAATACCTCACGGCAAAAACATGCTGCGGGTACGTCCATCAAGGCCCCACTAGTGCCTGGGATACTGTGGGTCCCTTTGCAGCCCTGGACGAGGATCACACTGGAACCCGCCTGGCACGCCGGCTCTCTATGCCAAGCCTGGGCGTGCCAGGCGCACTGGCGCTGGCTGTGATACAGTAGCTGACAGTCTGACGGCCCGGGTGGCCGCAGCGCTCGAATTCATGCGCAGGCGCGGGCCCGCGCCCCAGCGCCGGCCCGGGGAACCCCCTCTGTCAGGGGCCGGACCCTGCCCGCCCCGTGCACTTTGGGCACTTGTGGAGGCGGGGAGCCGGGAGATCTGGAGGCCGCGGCGCAGACGGGGACGCCAAGTGCCGGCCCGCGCCAAGCGCCAGCGGCAACACCCTCGGGCCTCAGCCCGAGGTCGGGCTCCGCCGGCAATCAAGGTACCGGCGCGAGCCCAAGGCCTAGCCTCACGGAGGACAGCCGCGCACGCCGGCATCAGTTGCCTGGCGGCAGTCGGCAGACAGAGGGCCAGTCGGGCCCTCACACGCGCGCCGGCGCACACGCCAGGCGATGCGTGACTCAGTGCCTAGACGGTGCCGGCAACACAACGCCTGGCACCCAGTTTTGGCGACGCCCATCAGGGCGCCCACACAGCACGCCGGCGCGTAGAACCCGCCAGGCGGCCAGTGTGCGGGGGCACTGGCAGCAGCACCCGTATTATAGAACAAAGGCGGCGTAGCCCGCTTCGCGTGGCGGAAGGAGGGACCCGCCTGGCGTGTCACCGCCGGCGGGAGGAGCGTGCGGCCAGCGCAGCAGCAAAATGGGGGGGGCTGCACCGCTGCCGCCATCATCGTCATCGTCTCCTGAGGGCCCGCCTCAACCGCTTCGCGGCTGGCACGTCCCGCGGCCTTAAAGCAGGCCGCGCTTTCGCTAGCGCCGTACTGTGGGGGCGGGGTCTTAGTTGTTTGTCCTAAACGGTTGGACCCCGCCCTCCCCAGTCGGCTTGGGTTTTCCTCTCCCTGCTCCTGCCTCTGCTTGCCCTTCCCTTTCCCTCTCTCCCGCTCAAGCCTTCGGGGCTCAAAGCCCTCCCAGGGCCCAAAGGGGCCCTCTTTTGCCCACCCACCCTGGGCTTTGCCTCGGTGTCTTACGGCACCGGCGGCGTAGCCCGCTTCGCGTGGCGGAAGGAGGGACCCGCCTGGC